ATCTGGTTAATTGAAAGCACCCCGAAGTAAGTACTGGTGACAATGATTAGAGACGGTGAAAAGAATTTAAAAATACTGGTGTTTAACATTCGAGATCCTGTAACATACAATAATAATAATGTTATCATAGCTACAGTCGAAACCGATGTGCTTGTTTTAGGTTCAAAGCATTGTTTTATTAAGTAGTCTTCGATAAAATGAAGTTAATATATTTTTTAAAAAAAATCGGTTTAAAAAAATTATGCATCAAAATTTATACATTCGCTTATACAACATGCTATTTCTAACGAATTTTAAAACGAGTAGCAAGGTTGGAGTAGGTTCCGATTGTTTTAGAACACATATTAATATTAGTATTTTTCTATAAATCATTCGATACGGTTATTATTGTATGCGGAACCATATACAAAAATAGCTTTAAACATTAAAGCGAAACAATAGTAATAGAAATCTTCGCCTTATTGAGTTGATTTTTATTATAAATGAATAGTAATAACAAAAATTCATTTCTTTAAGTTCCGACTGTAAATAACTTTTCATTAAAGTAACCTGGAGTTAATTTATTAACTTGGAATCCATGACGAAGAAGGTTTAAAACAAGATTTATATTTGTTAATGAAACTAGATAATAATAAGAGATATGAATAACAAAAAATTAATTCGCTTTTTTTAAGTATTAATGATGATAATATTAATGGATATTAATAAAAGGCATGGATAATGAAAATAAATTCTCTTTGCAGGGATTAGATTTAATGATCACTTTCTTTAATTAATGAGCCCTTTCTTTAGCAGATATAAAGAAAATAATAAAATAAAAACTTTAGAAATTTTTATAAATAGGTATGATCTTTGACAGTAAAAGACTTTATTGTAATTTCATTAATAATAAAATAAAATATCTCTTGTAATCTTATATATATCTGCATACACTTTAACAAAGTTTGTCCTATATATTGTTGTGCTTGCTTATATTTCCTAATCCATTGATAATTTGCATATATAGAAATTATTGGTTTTGGTGAAAAGAAAATAAGTTATACTATTGTAAAGTACTTAGAAATAACTTATAAAAACGATTTTGGTTTTAATTGCTTCCTCCTTCATAAAATCTCATACATGCCATACCTTTTGGAAGCCCTCGATGTACTCTATCTTATCATACATGAATGTTTTTTACTTGGAGAGTGAAAATTATTTAGTAATAAATTTACATTTAATTTGCGGATATTCTGAGGTTCGCGGCGGATAACTAATACTATATATAATTTTGCGGATATTT